CTGGGGAGGGGCTCGAGGGGGGAGGTGCTGGAGGGGGCTAAAGGGGTGGGGGAGGGGCTAAAGGGGGAGGGGCTTTGCAGGTGGGGGAGGGGCTAAAAGGGGAGGGGCTTTCCATGCGGGGGAGGGGCCGCCCTTTGACCCCTCCCCTCCCCCCCGCAGGTTCCGGCTGCCCCTCCCCCGCCCCCGCCCCTCCCCCACCCCCGGGCGGGGCCCCCGGGGGCAGCCAGGGCTGGTGAGGCCCCTCCCCCACCCCGGACACGCCCTCCCCCCGAACTCCGGCACCGACCAATAAAAACCCAGCCAAAAAAAAGGCCACGCCCACTTTGTGCGACGGCGGCGCGGGATTGGCTGGGGAGGGAGCGGGCGGCGATGACGTCACGACCACGCCCGGGGGAAAAAATTCCCGGGAATTCCGGGCGAAAAATCGGGAATTCCGGGCGAAAAATTCCAATTTTCGACCCCAAATTGTGAATTTTTCCACCCAAAATCTTCATTTCTTCCACCCAAAATTGACATTTCCGGCCGAATTTAGGATTTTTTTTTTTTTTGTCCTTTGTGTGGTTTTTTTACCCAAAATTGTGAATTTTTTTTTTGCCCCAAAATTTGAATTTCGCCCCCCAAGTCGAAGTGTTCGCACCCAAAATTCCAAATTTTTTGCGGCGGGTTGAAATTTTTGAACCGAAATTTTCTGTTTTTTTGACCCAAAATTGACACTTTGAACCAAAATTGGGATTTTTTTTCACCCCGATTTTTGGGGGTTTTTGACACCAAAAAGCCAAATTTTGGCCCGAATTTCAGATTTTTTTTTGACCCAAATTTGGAATTTATCACAAAAAAATTCGGACAATTTCTATTTTTTTGCCCAGCATTGACATTTTTCATTCAAAATTTACTTTTTTTTTGCCCAAAATTCAGAATTTTTTATGCCAAACTGAGAAATCCTGACCCCAAATGGAGAAATTTTGACTGAAAATCGGGACTTTTGACCCAAAAATTGAAATGTTTTCCTCAAACTGAGAATTTTTTCCCCAAAATCGAGAAACTCAGCCTAAAATTCATATTTAATCTCCCAAAATTAACAATTTTTGTCTACAAACTGAGAATTCGTCACCCCAAATATGGAATTTTCCACCCCAAATACAAAATTTTCTCCAAAAAAGGGAAATTTTTACCCCAATTTGATTTTTTCCCAAAATTCACCAAAATTTCACCACTCAAACCACTTTTAATTCCCTTAAAAACACAAATTTTCCACAAAACCCCCAAAATTTCCCCAAAATATTTTTATTTCCTGCCTAAAATCCATTTTTTTTCTTTAAAAATTGGATTTCCCCCCCCCAAAATCCCATTTTCCTCCTCAAAATTTCACGTTTTTTCATAAAATTCCATTTTCCCCAAAAATTCAATTTTTTTCTCCAAAATGTCACCTTTTTTCCCCAAAATTCCATTTTTCCCACAAAAAAATTCCATTTTTCTTCTAAAATTCAAATTTTTCCCCCCAAAATTCCGTTTTTCCTCCTCAAATTTCCAGATTTTTCAACAAAATCCCATTTTTCCCCAAAAATTGCAATTTTTTTCTCTTCGAATTTTCACATTTTCTCATAAAATTCCAATTTCCCCCATAAAAATTTCCATTTTTTCTCCTCAAAACGTCGGATTTTTCCCAAAATTTCCTTTTCCCCCCATTTTTAAAACCCCGGAATTTTCCTCTCCTCGAATCCGTCGGAATTTCCCCAAATTTTCGGGTTTTTCCCCCAATTTTTCGTCGTTTTTCCTCCCCAAATTCCCGAATTTCCACCCCAAAATCTTTCGGTGCTCCAGCCGTGGTCAGCGGTCACTCATTGGTCACTCGGTGGTCACTCAGTGGTCAGTGGTCACTCCGTGGTCACTCCATGGTCACTCAGTGGTCAGTGGTCACTCATTGGTCACTCAGTGGTCACTCAGGGAGGTCGATGGTCACTCCAGGATGATGACCACTGGTCACTCACTGGTCATTGTGGTCACTCCATGGTCACTCAGGAAGGTCGGTGGTCACTCTGGTCACTGGTCACTCACTGGTCACTTCGTGGTCACTCAGGGGTCACTCAGGGGAAACCGATGGTCACTAAATGGTCACTCAGGGAAGGTTGATGGTCACTCAATGGTCACTCAGGGAGGCTGATGGTCACTCAGTGGTCACTCAGGGAGGTTGATGGTCACTCAATGGTCACTCAGGGGTCAGTGGTCACTCAGTGGTCACTCAGGGAGGCTGATGGTCACTCAAGGAGGCCAATGGTCACTCAGGGAGGCCGATGCTCGCTCATTGGTCACTCAGGGATCAGTGGTCACTCAGTGGTCACTCAGGGTCACTCGGGCAGGTCGATGACCAGCTCGTCGTCGCCGTCCAGGGAAGGTCAATGGTCACTCAGGGAAGGTCGACAGTCACTCAATGGTCACTCAGGGAGGCCAATGGTCACTCAGGGATCACACAGGGAATGTTGATGGTCACTCAGTGGTCACTCAGGGAGGCCGACGGTCACTCAATGGTCACTCAGGGAGGTCGATGGTCACTCAATGGTTACTCAGGGAAGGTTGATGGTCACTCAGGGAAGGTTGATGGTCACTCAGGGAAGGTTGATGGTCACTCAGGGAGGCCGATGGTCACTCAGGAAGGCCAATGGTCACTCAGGGAGGTCGATGGTCACTCAGGGAGGTCGATGGTCACTCAGTGGTCACTCAGCGGTCAGTGGTCACTCAGGGTCACTCGGGCAGGTCGATGACCAGCTCGTCGTCGCCGTCCAGGGAAGGTCAATGGTCACTCAGAGAGGCTGATGGTCACTCAGTGGTCACTCAGGGGAAACCGATGGTCACTCAATGGTCACTCAGGGAAGGTTGATGGTCACTCAGGGAGGCCGATGGTCACTCAATGGTCACTCAGGGATCACTCAGGGATCACTCAGGGCAGGTTGATGGTAACTCAGTGGTCACTCAGGGAGGCCGACGGTCACTCAATGGTCACTCAGGGAAGGTTCATGGTCACTCAGGGAGGCCGATGGTCACTCAATGGTCACTCAGGGAGGCCGACGGTCACTCAATGGTTACTCAGGGAAGGTTGATGGTCACTCAGGGAGGCCGATGGTCACTCAATGGTCACTCAGGGAAGGTTCATGGTCACTCAGGGAGGGCGATGGTCACTCAATGGTCACTCAGGGAAGGTTGATGGTCACTCAGGGAGGCCGATGGTCACTCAATGGTTACTCAGGGAGGTCGATGGTCACTCAGGGAGGCCGATGGTCACTCAGGGATCACTCAGGGATCACTCAGGGCAGGTCGATGGTCACTCAATGGTCACTCAGGGAGGTCGATGGTCACTCAATGGTCACTCAGGGGAAACCGATGGTCACTCAATGGTCACTCAGGGAAGGTTGATGGTCACTCAGGGGAAACCGATGGTCACTCAATGGTCACTCAGGGAGGCCGATGGTCACTCAGGGAGGCCGATGGTCACTCAATGGTCACTCAGGGAAGGTTGATGGTCACTCAGGGAGGCCGATGGTCACTCGGGGTCACTCGGGCAGGTCGATGACCAGCTCGTCGTCGCCGTCCAGGGCAGGTCGGTGGTCACTCAGGGAGGCCAATGGTCACTTAATGGTCACTCAGGGAGGCCGATGGTCACTCAATGGTCACTCAGGGAGGCCGATGGTCACTCAATGGTCACTCAGGGAGGCCGATGGTCACTCGGGGTCACTCGGGGTCACTCGGGCAGGTCGATGACCAGCTCGTCGTCGCCGTCCAGGGGGTCGTCGCTGCCCTCGCCCTCGCCCTCGCCGCCCCCGGGGCCGCTCAGGAGCCGCCGGGGCAGCGTGGGCGGCACGGGGGGCGGGGCGGGGGGCGGGGCCAGCGCCGGGGGGAGGGGCGACCCGGGGCCACGCCCCCCGCCCAGCCCCGCCCCCGCCCCGCCCCCCGGCAGCGGCAGAGGGGGAGGGGCGGGAGGGGGCTGGGGGGGAGGGGAGGGGTCAGTGAGTGACCACTGAGTGACCACTGAGTGACCCCAGCTTGACCCCTCCCCAGCCCATCACCCCTCCACCTTTAGCCCCGCCCCATTTCCCTTTAGCCCCGCCCCTTTTTCCTTTAACCCTGCCCACTTTTCCTTAACCCCGCCCCTTTCCCTTTAACCCCGCCCCTTTCTGTTTAACCCCGCCCCTTTCCCTTTAAGCACACCCCTATTCCCTTTAGCCCCGCCCATTTATCCTTAACCCCGCCCCTTTCCCTTTAACCCCGCCCCTTTCCCCTCTAGCCCCGCCCCTTTTCCCCTTATCCCCGCCCCTTTCCCTTTAGCCCCGCCCCTGTCCAATAAAACCACCCCATTTCCCTTAGCCCTGCCCCTTTCCCTTAGCCCCGCCCCTTTCTGCTTTAACCCCGCCCCTTTTCTGTTTCCCACCTCTTTTCCCGTTAGCCCCGCCCATTTTCATGTTAGCCCCGCCCATTTTCCCATTAACCCTGCCCTTTCACCTTAGCCCCGCCCATTTCCCCATTAACCCCGCCCTTTTCACCTTAGCCTCGCCCATTTTTCCATTAACCCCGCCCTTTTCACCTTAGCCCCGCCCATTTTCCCTTTAACCCCGCCCATTTTCCCAATAACCCCAGCTCTTTTCCCTTTAACCACGCCCCTTTCCCTTTAACCACGCCCCTTTCCCTTTAGCCCCACCTCTGTTCCATTAGCCCCGCCCCTTTCCCTTTAGCCCCGCCCCTTTTTGCTTTAATCATGCCAATTTTACCATCAACCCCGCCCCTTTTCCCTTTAAGCCCGCCCTTTTACCCTTAACCCCGCCCCTTTTCCATTTATCCATGCCCATTTTTCCATTAACACCGCTCTTTTCACCTTAGCCCCGCCCCCTTTCCCTTTAACCCCGCCCCTTTCCCATTAACCCCACCCATTTTCCCTTAGCCCCGCCTATTTTCCATAATCATCGCCCTTTCCCCTTAGCCACGCCCATTTCCCATTAATCTCACGCCTTTTCCCCTTAACACCGCCCCTTTCCCCCTTAGCCCCGCCCCTTTACCATTAACCCCGCCCCTTTCCCCTTAACCCCGCCCCTTTCCCCACCCATTTCCCCTTAGCCCTGCCCATTTTCCATTAACCCCGCCCCTTTCCATTTAACCCCGCCCATTTCCCCTTAGTCCCGCCCCTTTCTCTTAGCCACGCCCCTTTTACCCTTAACCCTGCCCCTTTTCAATTAGCTCCGCCCCTTCCTCTTTAGCACCGCCCTTTCCCCTTAACCCCGCCCCTTCCCCTTTAGCCCTGCCCCATTTCCCCTTAACCCCGCCCATTTCCCCGTAGCCCCGCCCCTTTCCCATTAACCCCACGCCTTTTCCCCTTAGCCCCGCCCCTTTTCCCCTTAGCCCCGCCCCCTTCCCCTTTAGCCCCGCCCCATTTCCACTTAGCCCCGCCCCATTTCCCCTTAACCCAGCCCCTTTTCCAGTGGCCCCGCCCCTTTTCCCATTAGCCCCGCCCCTTTTCCCATTCAACCACCCAATTTCCCTTAGCCCCACCCAATTTCCCGTTAGCCCCGCCCCTTTCCCTTAGCCCCGCCCTCACCTGCCCTCTCCGTGCGCCTTTGCTGCGGCGGGCGGGGCAGGGGCGTGGCCGGGCCCCGCCCTGCGGGGGGAGGGGGAAGGAGCCGTAGGGCGGAGACGCCATCTTGGAAAGGGGGAGGGGCCAGGTCAGGCCCCGCCCACTTCCGGGAAAAGGGGGCGGGGCTTGCACAAGAGGGAGGGGCACTCACCAGGTAGGGGGAGGGGCCAAAGCCGGAGGGGGGCGGGGTCGGAGAGCGGCGCCTGCGGGGGGGAGGGAAAAGTGTTGGCCACGCCCACCAACGGGGCGGCCATCTTGGATTTTGTCAGGCGTCGTGGCGGCCATCTTGAAATTTGACTACCATGATGGCAGCCATCTTGAAATTTGACTACCATGATGGCAGCCATCTTGAAATTTGACTGCCATGATGGCAGCCATCTTGGAATTTGACATCCATGATGGTGGCCATCTTGAACTTTGATTACCCTGATGGCGGCCATCTTGGAATTTGACTACCATGATGGCGGCCATCTTGGATTCTGACCTCCATGACAGCAGCCATCTTGGATTTTTACCACCATGGTGGTGGCCATCTTGGAATTTGACATCCATGATGGCGGCCATCTTGAAATTTGATTACCCTGATGGCGGCCATCTTGGAATTTGACTATCATGATGGCAGCCATCTTGGACTTTCACCACCATGGTGGCAGCCATCTTGAAATTGGACTGCCATGATGGCAGCCATCTTGAAATTCAACTGCCATAATGGTGGCCATCTTGAAATTTGACATTCACGATGGTGTCCATCTTGGATTTACACCCACATGGTGGCAGCCATCTTGAAATTTGACTGCCATAATGGCAGCCATCTTAGATTTTCACCCACCTGGTGGCAGCCATCTTGAAATTTGGCCACCATAATGGAACCCATCTTGGAATTTGACCACCATGGCGGCGGCCATCTTGGATTTTTACCGCCATGGTGGCAGCCATCTTGAAGCCACACCCACCTCAAGAGCCGCCATTTTGAAACCCCACCATTTTGAAGCCACGCCCACCCCGACCGCCATCTTGGATTCCTTTAACCCCTTCCTGACCTCTTGGCGGGCGCCGGCTCCGCCCCCTTGGCGCCGTCGCCGTCGCTGTTGTCGGACGACGCCGTCGCCTCCGAGTCTGGGGAGGGGGAGGGGCCAATCAGGAGGTGGGGGAGGGGCGGGGCCAGCCCCGGGGTTGACCTTTGACCCCTCGGGGTTGACCTTTGACCCCCCCGGAGGTACCTGAGGAATCATCGTCGACGTTTTCGTACTGGAGGAGCCGGTCCAAAAGGAAACTGAGGCAAAAAAGAGCAAAAAATTTGGGGGTTTTGGCAGGGGGAAAAATAAAATTCAATAAAAGGGAAAAAATTGGGGATTTTGGGGGGGAAATAAGGGAAAAAAAGGAAAAAAAATTGAATAAAATGGGGTTTTAGGATGAAATAAATGTAGGAAATTAAAAGAAGAATGAACATGAAAAATAGAAATAAAAATTAGGAAAAAATTGAAATAAGGAAACCGCAAAAATCAGAAAATAAAAATAAAATACAAACATAAAATTAAAAGTAAAAAATACAAACCAAGATTAAAAATTCAAAATAAAAATAAGAAACAGAGATTAAAAATTGAAATTAAAAGACAAAAATTATAAATAAAAGCTAAAAACTAAAACGGAACAGATAAAAAAAGATAAAAAATTAAAACGGGGAATTTAGAAAGAAAATAATCTAAAATTTTCAGAAGAGGCTATTTTGAGGCATAAAAAAATCTTAAAAATTTTGGAATTCCAAATAAAAATCCAATAAATTTAGAATTTCGGAAATAAAACGAAATTTCTAAATTTAAAAAAAAGTTTTTGAATTTAAATTGGGAATTTTGGGGAGCTTTTTAAGGAATGTTTAGAATTCGAAGAAAAAAGGAATTTTTGGGGTGAATTTGGATGATTTTGGTACCTTTTGTCCCTGGAGACTTTCAGGAGTTTGCGCTGGGCCCTCCTCAGCTCCTCCTGGAAACATTCTTGCTCCTGGGGGAAATTTAATTTTTGACCCAAAATTTGGCTTTTTTCCCCTGAAATCCACCTTTTTTTTCCCAAAAAATTTTGGCTTTTTTTCCTCTCCAAAATTTCATTCTTGCCTCCAAAATCTACCTATTTTACACCAAAATTTTCTTTTTTTTCTCTCCAAAATTCACCTTTTCCCCCCTAAAATTTCACTTTATCCCTCCAAAATTCAACTTTTTCCCCTCCAAATTTGGCTTTTTTTCCCCTCCTAAATCCAACTTTCCCCCCCTCAAAATTTTCCCGCTAGAATTTTACTTTTTTCACGCTAAAATTTACCATTTTTCCCTCAAAAATCCACTTTTTTCCCCCCAAAATTTATCCTTTTTTCCCTCCAAAGTCCCCTTTTACCCCCCAAATTTCAATCATTTTCCCCCATAAATTTCACTTATTTTCCTCAATAAATTTACCCTTTTCTCCCCAAAAATTTGGCTTTTTCCCTCTCCAAAATCCACCTTTTTCCCCCCTAAAAATCCCAATATTTTCCCATAAAAATCCGCCATTTTTCCCCTAAAACATCCCAAATTTTCCCCTTAAAAATCCCATTTTTTTCCCCTAAGAATGCCAGTTTTTTCCCCTTAAAAATCCCATTTTTTCCCCTAAAAATCCCAATATTCCCCCCTAAAAAATCCCATTTTTTTCCCCTAAAAATCCCAATTTTTCCCCCTAAAAACCCCAATTTTCCCCCCTAAAAATCCCAATATTTACCCCTTAAAAATCCCAAATTTCCCCCTAAAAACCCACCTTTTTCTCCCTAAAAATCCCATTTTTTCCCCTAAAAAATCGCAATTTTCCCCCCTAAAAATCCCAATTTTTTCCCCTAAAACTCCAAATTTTCCCCGTAAGAATGCCAGTTTTTTCCCCTTAAAGATCCCAATTTTTCCCCTTAAAAGTCCCAATTTTCCCCCCTAAAAATCCCAGTATTTTCCCCTAAAAATCCCATTTTTTCCCCTAAAAACCCCAATTTTCCTCCCAAAAACCCCCAAATTTCCCCCAAAATTCCTCCCACACCCCAAAATCCCCCCAAACCCCCCCAAAATTTCCATTTTCCCCCCCAAAATTCCCCTTTTTCCCCCAAAAATTCCGATTTTCCCCCCAATACTTCAATCCCCCCCACTCCCCTCACGCTCAAGCCCCGCCCCTTTCCCCTTCCCGCCCGTTAAGCCCCGCCCCTTCCCTTGGCCCCGCCCCTCACGTAGAGCAGCAGCTTCAGGCGCCGCTTCAGGGCCCGGCAGCGCCGTTTGTAGCCGCCGCCATCGCCCTCGCTCGCCCCGTTCATGGCGGACAAGCCCCGCCCTTCCCCTCGCTCCTCATTGGCTCTCCCCTTTCCCGCGCCGCCTCCTGATTGGTCCCCCCTCTGCCTCAACCCGCCGCGCGTTCCTTTTCCGGGTTCTTCCACCCCGCCTCCTCCTTCCTGCGATTGGTTCGAGCGTCACAAGGCGGCGATGTGATTGGGCGGCGCTGCTGTCAATCAAGCTCCCCCGCGCTGCGCGTTAGCCCCACCCCTTACCGCTTCTGATTGGTTGCTGCCGCTCCTAGCCGGCTTCTGATTGGTTGAAGTGGCTGCCGGTCACTCCCTCGAGGCTGAAACCGCTGCCGCTCAACCCCACCCCGCCCTTCAGTGGCTGTCGCCCCTTCCCGCTTCACAGCGCCGTCCCCTCATTGGTTGCCGCGCCGCCAGCCCCGCCCCGCTGTCGTTGATCTCGCTCCTCATTGGTCGCCGCTTTGAGGGCGCAGAAATGGCGGCGGCGGCGGCGCCGAGCGGCGGCGAACGGTACCGGGAGGGGGGAGGGGAAGCACCGGAGACCCCCCCCCCGGGGAGGGGGGGCACGCCCTGCGCTGGCCACGCCTCTCGCGAGGCTGCCCCGCCCCGATTGGCCCCGCCCCGGTTGACCCCGCCCTTTTCTTCTCCGCAGGGCGGCGGGCGAGGCCGAGCGCGCATGCGCGGAGCTGGAAGGGGGCGTGGCCGAGGCGGGGCGAGGCTCGGGGGTGGCGCCCCCTGGCGGAGGGCGGGAAGGGCGGGGGCAGGGGGGAAATGGCGGGAAAAGGCAGGGGGATGGCGGGAAAAGGGAGGATGGCGGGGAAAAGGGGGGAAATGGCGGGAAAAATGGGGGATATGGCGGGAAAAGTGGGAGGGAGGAAGAGGAGGCGGAGAGGAAGAGAAAGGAGGAGGAAAATGAGGCAAAAATGGGGGAAAATGGGACAAAAGTGAGGAAAATGGAGGGGGAGGAGGAAGAGGAGGGAGGGGAGGAGGAAGGGAGGAAAAATGGGGGGAAAATGGGGGAAAAAGGGGAAAAAATGGGGAAAAAATGGGGGGAAAAATCGAAATTTGAGAGCGAGGAAGTGGAGGAGGAAGA